GATTTGAACTTTGTTTATTTTGATTGGTCGATTTATTTATAAATGTAAATATGATCTGCAATTTGCATATGGGGCAAAATTGATAGCCCAAAATCAAATTGTTATCTGGGCTACCCCGATTGACAATTAGGCTGATTGTCATTTAGGTACAACATATATATAAAGCAAATGTCCATAACTTAATATGCATTCCAGATGCACAAGTATAATCGTGGTATATGAATAGCTTAAAATACTATTTATATAGAATAAGAAATTTGTGAGATTTGATTTATGCATTCTGGATGCACAAGTGTAACCAAGATGCATATCATATATAGTCATGGGTTATGTGAGGTCACATAACTAGGTAGTACAAAACAAGATCAATGACTTTTTATATATATTTGTATTTACATAATACTTTCGCAAAATTTAAGTTATACAATAAAAAGTCACATAATTTGTGTAACCTGAATCTGCAAGTCGGTTACACAAAAGGTATTTAAATAGTTTATATAAAAATAAAAATTGTTATACAAAACTTATTTTGTGTAATATTATACAAATTATTGAAATTCAAGTTTTTATAAATTGATTTTAATTATAAAAGTCAGGTATTCAAAAATGCAAACAGATAAGGAAACTCTAATTCGAGTATTAATACAGGTATTTAAGAATGCAAACAGTAAGGGAACTTTAACTTGGGTACTAACACGGGCATTTAAGAATGCAAACAGGTAAGAGAACTCTAACTTGGGTATTCAAAAATACAAGCGGGTAAGAGCACTTTAACACAGATACTAATACGGGTATTTAAAAATGCAAACAGGTAAAGGAACTCTAACTCAGGTACTAACACGAGTATTTAAGAATGCAAATAGGTAAGAGAACTCTAGCTCGGGTACTAACACAGATATTTAAGAATGCAAATGGGTAAGGGAACTCTAACTCGAGTATTCAAGAATGCAAACAGGTAAGAGCATTTTAACTCGGATACTAACACAGGTATTTAAGAATGCAAATGGGTAAGGAAACTCTAACTTGGGTACTAACATGGGTATTTAAGAATGCAAACGGGTAAGAGAACTCTAACTCGAGTATTCAAGAATACAAACAGGTAAGAAAACTCTAACTCAGGTACTAATACGGGTATTTAAGAATACAAACAGGTAAAGAAACTCTAACTCGAGTACTAACACAGGTATTTAAGAATGCAAACGGGTAAGAGAACTTTAACTCGGGTATTCAAGAATGCAAACGGGTAAGAAAACTATAACTCAGATATTTAAGAATGTATATGTTTAAAATAAAAATAACTTGGGTACCTTCTATTTTAAGAATACCATTGCAAGGCAACGGGTTCAGACCTAGTCTATATATATATATAGCACAGTTGTCCGTGCGTTCCGGATGCAAAAGTGTAACCGATCTGCATGAATCATCTACAGTACAATTTATATTGGATCTGCAGATCGTGTAACTTAATTTATGCGTTCCGGATGCACAAGCTACTAAATAAGGTATGTAAACAAATGCGTTCCCTTTTTTTTTGTTTTTTTTTCCCGCGCTTATTATTTTTTATTCTTTTCTATCCCAATTCTATAACGCCTAAAGAAAACGTTGCTAGAAACCTCAAATCGACGCACGAAAAAATTATGTGGCAGGTTTTTTTGATCATTGTGACGCAGTCGATTCGATAGTAAAATCACTCAAGGAAATTTTTTTGTTAGAGCACTAACGTTGATTTTTTATGCCGATTTTGAGAAATAAGCGATTTTTGACAACACGAACGTTTGTTTGAAAATTTCCGATTTGTAGTTTTTTGGATTTGCGCCACCATAATTGGCAAAACCTGCACATAATTTTTTCATGCCAAACTGACAACAGAAGCTACTGCAAATACTCATAGAAAACATAAACCAAAACGCATTAAAAGAACACCAACAAACAAAACACGAAAGACACTGACAATTACTAAAAAAAAAAGGCACCAACAATAGAAGAAGAAAAGAAAGTACAATACAAAGTGAACCACAATACAAAGTAAGCAAAAAGAAATAACAGAAGAAAGCGAAAGACAATACAAATAAGAAGTGAAATAAAAAGTAAAAAAAAAAATAGTCGAAAAATTCAAACACATTACAATGAAGAAGCTAAACTAAACGAATCGCGAAAAAAATCGAAATAACGTATAATGAAGAAGCAAACTAAACGAATGGTGAAAAAAAAATACACACTAGATAATTACTTACCTGGAAATAAAGATTTGGACCCTAAAAGATTATGATCGGCGTTTTGATTGTATAACTGCAATTATCAAAACGCCGATTATAATTTTTTAGGGTCCAAATTTTTATTTCCGGCATAATGGTGTAAATTTCAAATTTTACAAAGGTCGGCATTTGAAAGTTTTTAAATACGAATAGAAGGTGGTAAGTTAATATTTACTTCTGCTGAAAGTTGCAACTCGATGGATATTAAAAAAAATTTCCTTATTATACTTACAGATCAAGTCGAACCTAAAAGAATTAGAATCGTTGGTAAGTTATTAAACAATAATTAGTTTTGTATTGGATTTATTAGCTTTAATTATTTACTAAATTATTATATTTACCTATTGAGCCGGAAAGGATTTGGAACCGCTGGAAGGACCGAACCAAAAAGATTTAGAATCGCTGGTAAGTTATTAAATAAGAATTAGTTTTGTATTGGATTTATTAGCTTTAATTATTTACTAAAAAAAAAATTTATTTCGATTTGCAAAATTCTGGATCCTATTGATTGTTTGATCATGATCATCATCTAACAATCACAATTACATTTTATTAATAAAATCTAACTGTAATTAAGCGATTGTGATTGTTAGATAGATGATCATTGCTCAAACAATCAACGGGATCCAGAATTTTGCAAATCGCAATAATTATTATACTTACATATTGCGCCGGAAAGAATTTGCAGCCGCTGGAAAGACCGAACGAAAAGATTTAGAATCGCTGGTAAGTTATTAAATAATAATTAGTTTCGTAATGGATTTATCAGTTTTAATTATTTACTAAAAAAAAAATTAATTATCATACTTACATATTGAGCCGGAAAGAATTTGAAGCCGCTGGAAGTACCGAACCGAGATGATTTAGAATCGCTGGTAAGTTATTACAGCTGTTTTCATAATTCCTGGTACACCTGTAAAAGATTAGCCGAATGATTTTATTTCGGCATAACTGAGAATAGATTCAATAAAAATTGTTACATAATCTATTATGCCGAAATAATAAGTTAACAGGATCGGCCGAAAATCATTCGGCTAATTTTTGCAAGTGTCCCAGGAATTGTGAAAGCAGCTGTAAATAAGAATTAAATTCATATTCGATTTATTAGTTTTGATTATTTACCAAAAAACAATTAATTATACTTACATATCGAGCCGGAAAGAATTTGGAGCCACTCGAATGGTAAGTTATGAAATAAGAATTAGTTTCATATTGGATTTATTAATTTTGATTAATTACTAAAAAAAAAAAATTAATTATTATACTTACATATTAGCGGGAAAGGATTTGGAAGACTGAACCGAAAAGATTTAGAATCGCTGGTAAGTTATTAAATAAGAATTAGTTTCGTATTGGATTTATTAGATTTAATTATTTACTAAAAAAAAATTTTATTGCAATTAGCAAAATTCTGGATCCCATTGATTGTTTGAGCAATGATCATCATCTAACAATCGTAATTACATTTTATTATAAAATGTAATTGTTATTAAGCGATTGTGATTGTGATTGTGATTGTTAGATGGATGATCATTGCTCAAACAATCAATAGGATCCAGAATTTTGCAATAATTATTATACTTAGATATTGCGCCGGAAAGAATTTGGAGCCGCTGAAAAGACCGAACGAAAAGATTTAGAATGCTGGTAAGTTATTAAATGAGATTTAGATTCGTATTTAATATATTAGTTTTAATTATTTACTAAAAAAAAAATTAATTATTATACTTACATATTGAGCCGGAAAGGATTTGGAGCCGCTGGAAGGACCGAACCCGAAAAGATTTAGAATTGCTGGTAAGTTATTAAATCAAAATTAGTTTCGTGTTGGATTTATTAATTTTTATTATTTACTAAAAAAAAAAAATCAATTACGTATTATACTTACATATTGAACTGGAAAAGATTTGGAGCCGCTGGAAGGACCGAACCGAAAAGATTTAGAATCGCTGGTAAATTATTAAATAAGAATTAGTTTCTTATTGGATTTATTAGCTTTAATTATTTACTAAAAAAAAATTATTGCGATTTAAAAATTCTGGATCCCATTGATTGTTTGAGCAATCATCCATCTAACAATCGCAATTACATTTTATTAATAAAATGTAATTGTTATTAAGCGATTGTGATTGTTAGATAGATGATCATTGCTCAAACAATCAATGGGATCTAGAATTTTGCCAATCGCAATAATTGTTATACTTACATATTGAGCCGGAAAAGATTTGGAGCCGATGGAAAGACCGAAACGAAAGAATTATAATCGTTGGTAAGTTATTAAACAAGAATTAGTTTCGTATTAGATTTATAATATTTGATTATTTACTAAAAAAAAAAATTTAATTATTATATACTTACATATTGAGCCGGAAAGGATTTGGAGCCGCCGGAAAGACCAACCGAAATGATTTAGAATCGCTGGTAAGTTATTAAATAAGACTTGGTTTATATTGTATTTATTAATTTTGATTATTTACTAAAAAAAAATTTAATTATTATACTTACATATTGAGCCGGAAAGGATTTTGGAGCCGCTGGAAAGACCGAACCGAAAAGATTTAAAATCGATGGCAAGTTATTACAGCTGTTTTCATAATTCCTGGGACACCTGTAAAAAAATTAACTGAATGATTTTTCGGCCGATCTGGGTAAATTATTATTTTGGTATAATAGATTCACTAAAATTTGGTACGTACACACGTACGTAATCTATTCGGATCGGCCGAAAAATCATTCGGCTAATTTTTTTACAAGTGTCCCAGGAATTATGAAAACAGGTGTAAATAAGAATTAGTTTCATATTGGATATGGCCCTCAGAAAACAACAAAAGGATAGACAGGTGGGACTAAGGATATCCATAATTGTATAAAACAATTTCAAGTTTAAGCTACAAAATACGAAGATGTAATCGAATGGATTTCTTTTAATAAATTAAATAATATTCAAAACGTTGGTAATAGACTTTTAACAACATGGATAGATAGATACTATATGTAAAGGAATATGGACATAAACAGCCACGTATAAAATCATATGGAGTGGAACTTAAAGCATTAAATGAAGTAAGCTAAAAATATATGAATTATTGCTGTATTACTAATATATTAAACACTATATTAAAATAAATTTATTGGTTATGTGCAGTTAAAAAAGAATAGTAAACTTGAAGTATATGACCTAACTCAAAACACATCGACAAATGAATATATGTTATTATTCGACGATGAATTTAGTTCTAAAAGAAATAAGAAAAATGGAAAATGTGAAAATTATAATCAATATAACACTTCTCACGCTTGATGCCAGATATGTGACCCTTATAAAACACTACAAGGATGATTATTTACTAAAAAAAAATTAATCATTATACTTACTTATTGAACCGGAAAATATTTGGAGCCGCTGGAAGGACCGAACCGAAAAGAATTAAATTCGCTGGTAAGTTATTAAATATGAATTAGTTTCGTATTGGGTTTATTAGTTTTGATTAATTACTAAAAAAAAAAATTAATTATTATACTTACATATTGAGCCGGAAAGAATTTGGAGCCGCTGGAAGGACCGAACAGAAAGATTTAGAATCGCTGGTATGTCCTGGGACACCTGTTAAAAATTAGCCGAATGCTTTTATTTCAGTATAACTTATAATAGATTCAATAAAAATTGGTACGTACGTACTGAATCTATTACACCGAAATAATAACTTAACCGGATCGGTCGAAAAATCATTCGGCTAATTTTACAAGTGTTCTAGGAATTATGAAAACAGCTGTAATTCCGATAGCACACTTCAAAACCTTATCGAATTGGGCCGAATGCTTATTTATCGTTGTTGAGAATAGTATGAAAAAATTTAAAATAAATAAATAAATAAAAAAAAGGGTAAATAAAAAAACGGGTAAATAAAAAAAAGCAAAATAAAAAAACAACTTAAAAAAATTGAAACCGAAATAAAAAAATAAAATAAAAATCGAAATCGAAAACAATAAATAGTAACAAAAAAATTAAATTGTTAATAAAATAAATAAATATATAAAAAAATAAAATAGTTTAATTATTATTTATTTAATAAATAACTTTTTAATATAAATTTATATATTTAAAATCTTATTTAATTTTAATATTTGTAATTAATTGTATATAAAATTTGAATAATACAATTTAAATAATTAAATTATTTAATTTAACTTTATAATAATAATTATTTTTTTAATCTTTATAAATAAATGTATTTACTTTAAATATTTTTATATTATATAATTATTTGATTAACAATAGTAAATAAATAATTTAATAACTTTTATATTTATTATAAAATATATAATAGATTTGTTTATTATATATTTTTATATTATAATTAGACACTCTAAATATTATTCTTCTAAATGCATCTTTTATAAAACACTTCATTAAATATATAACTTCTCTTGAATCCAACTAATATTAAATTTATAAATTTTTATTTTTTTAAATACAATACTTTTCTAAATATATAGTTCTATTATATTGTATTTAAAAAGATTTAACTATATACATATTAACTAAAAGTAGATTTAAATAGGCTTAAAAATATAAAATATCTTTATTTAAAATTTTATATATTAATTAAGTTTTTAAATAATATATATAGTATATATATAGAGTATTTATTTTTCTTATACCTTTTATTTAATATAACTTCTTTAATAACTTAAAATTATACTAAAATAATCTTTATTATTTAATTTATAAAAAATATTTTTATACTGATTTTAATTTAACCTAATCTTAATTTTAACTCTAACTCTACCTCTAACTCTAATTTATTTTTTATTTATATTAATTTTATTATAAAATATTGAGAAAATACTATTTTAAAACAATAGGTTCAGACCTTTATAAATTTAATTTTATCTTTATTATAAGACTACTATTGCAAAGCAACAGGATCAAACCTAGATTAGTCTAATTTAAATAAAAATAAAATTAATTTTAACTATTACAAAAATACTGTTACAAAATAATGGGTTAGATCTAGATTAATCTAATTTAAATAAAAATAAATTTAATTTTAACTATTACGAGAATACTATTGCAAGGCAACGGGTTCAGACCTAGATTAATCTAATTTAGTTGATGATTCTCCAGTGAACTGATTAATTATCTTTTTTTTTTTTTTTTTTTTTTTACGTTTACCCTCTTGGGGGCTAGGTTTTTTTTTTTTTTTTTTTTATCAGGGGGTTCTCTTGGGGCGCCTCC